AACTTTCAATTTAATCCTTAAACTAAAAAAATTCTTTTATTTGGTTGCTAAACTATTATACGGACCACAATTTGGTTTATATTGTTTACCAAGGTTTTTAAAACCGGACCGGACCGGCCGGTTGAACCGGTCGGACCGGTACCGGTCATGAAAATGGTTCGATTCATATAAGAAAACCGTTTTAGGTCAAAACCGGTAAAAACCGGTCAAAATCGATAAAACCGGTAAAAACCGATAAAATCGGTGAAACCAAAAAAATCACCGGTTCAATTTCTCATGCAATCTTCTTTCAATTTTTTCCAATTTCACCATTCCCATTCCTTTCTTATACCCATTTTAACCTTTAACTTTAACAAAATTACAAAATTATCAACACCAAATAAAAAAATCAATGCCTATAGCTTGCTCCTCTCATCAAATCTTCTTTATTGTTTGGATCGGTCGGTTCACCGGTTCAATCGGTTGAACCGGTCAAACCAAAAACCGGACCTGAAAACGGTTCAATGACCGGTCCGGTTTTGAAAACATTGTTGTTTACCAATTTGCCCTAAATTGATTTTTTCATACAAAAAAATTGACATATCCATTACTTAATTATGAAAAATAATAACTTAATGATGAAAAATAATAACTTAATGACGAAAAATAATAAATTAGCAATCACATATCAAGTTAATAACAAAACACATCAGTTAATTTTTGTATAGAAAGACTAATTTGAGGTAAATTAGTAAACAGTAGGAACCAAATTGAGGGTCCATACAATAGTTTAAGGACCAAATTGGTGGTTTATACAATAATTTAGGGACCAAATTGGGGGTTTATACAATAAATTAAGGATTAAATCAGGGATTTTTTAGTTCAGGGACCAAATAAGAGTCCGTACAATAGTTCAGGGATCAAATTGGGCATTTAACCACAAAAAGAAAGGAGGTAATTAGCAAAGAAATGTCAGGTTATATAAGTAATTTCAACTACAGCCATTTCAACGACCTTCCCCTTCGTCTGGCACTCTTGCTCACTCTGCCATTCCTCGCCCTCTCCGGCCCGCCGACCTCAGCAGAGACCCGCCATCTATCTCCTCAAAGAAACATGGTATTTATTTTTTGTCCAGTTTAAGTTCGTGTTTTTTCGATTTTCTTTCATGGGTTCTTGTTCTAATTGCACTAGGGCTCTTGTGTTTTCCTTTTGTTGCCTTTTTTTTGTTGGGTTGTGGGGGTTGCAGTTGTTCTTTTCGTACTTCAAGGACTTGGTCGGCAGAGAAGTAACTGTGGAGCTGAAGAATGATTTGGCAATCAGAGGAACCCTTCACTCCGTCGATCAGTACCTCAATATCAAGCTCGAGAATACTAGGGTTGTTGATCAAGACAAGTACCCTCACATGGTACCCCTTTTCCTATGGTCTTAATTTAATGTTGTCTGTGAATTGAGAGTTGGATTTTTTATGGTTTTGGTTCTACAATTCGTGCGTAGCCTGTTTGTAGCTTAAATTTTTGTGGAATTTGCTCTGTTCAGGATTTTATCACATACCTTACACCTATTGCCTGTAAAAGAAATGTTCAATTCTAGGGTTTTCTTTTAGCATTTCAAGGTCTATCATATGGTCTAGCAAAAAAAA